CCCCCCGAGGCTTGGAGACGCATTGCGTCAATTGAAGACGCAGCAAATTAAAAAATAAAATGAAAAAGGCGGAGATGCCTTTCCATTGTCAGAAATCGAGAATATTGTTAAAGCATCTCCCGCTGTGCAATAACATGAAAACTTGCGCGTACAGTGTTTCAATCGTTCTCCTTGTTGAGAACAATATCGCCACTAATAAAAGAAAAAAAACGTGAATACTAATTGAAGGTGCTGAACGAAATTTCACATTTAATTAACACATTTTTACAAAGTGGATAAAAGTACGATATTCGCGTCGCAACATCTGATTACAATACGAGATTGGAAAATTGTCAAGCCAAGTTTGGTAACCAATTGAGTATTGTAATCAGATGTTATGACACTAATATCGTAAATACCAAAAAACTATGACAAATAACACACCTCAACGGGAGGACGCTTACAAGCCTTTTGGGTACAACAATATGGCGGATCGCTGCTTGTGGTGGCTTCAAGTTTGCGACGTCCTGGAAATTAATTTCCGTCTGAAAAAGAGTATTTCGCCTCATTGTCATTAATTCCGACACTAGGCAGCTAGGAAAGAAATATCGTCTGCCAAAGGACGTCTCCCCTGAGGTGGAGGTAGCGGACTCAGAATGTTTCATTCATCGATCAGTTCTATTAGCCGCTTGCGTTATTCCGAAACTCTTGCGATACCGAAACTCTGATTCCTATGTTATTAGGCGAGTAAAAGGGAGAGTGGGAGGGTGTTCCAACAGTGCAAGAGGCAATGAAGGGTGTCAAAACTGCAATACGAGACTGGACAATGTAGAATCAAGTACGGAGAGAGCACGAACTCAAGAAGGATCTAGATAAATTACATATAAAAAATGTACGAAAATAAAATTGAAAATAATTGATTTTTTAAGGTCAAATAATATTGAAATATGCTGTTAATGTATTTTGCTATATGTCTACATTAATGAGATTAATTGTGTAGAAATTATTTTTAATTTCGACCTCGGATGTAGGGAACTTCAGATATAGTGAAACAAAAAGGTTTAGTCCCGAAAAGTTCATGATCACCGGAGACGATTGTATATATCCGTAGCTGCCACACCGATCCAGCTGATTACCACGGCAGCGGACGTCATTTCGCAGTGTTGGCATTTTAATCGCCGCCGTTCCGTAGGCACTCCGCGATCGCGAGCTACGCCATCAAGCGGCCGGGAGTGCAACGAAAACGCATCAGCAAGAAGCGAGCTTTGGATCCCAGTGGCGGGTACCCAATGTCGCTATGTACTGGAGAAACAGTCGCACGCTAGTGTATCGCATCTATACTTCGGTTTTTATAGCGTGGCGCTTCAGGGCCTGTCTTCACGATGGAGTATCTCTCGGCATTTCACGTCTTTCGCGGTCGTGCCGCTAGTCACATCGCATTGCTTGATACGATCGCGATCATGCGACATCTAGCGTCACGACCGAGAGAGACGCTAAATGCCGTGAGATATTCCAATGTGAAGACAGGCTCTGACGCACCACGATATAAAAACCGAAGTATAGTGGGGACATGTCCCCATGAATGCAACGAGGCACGGAGAAGCAGAAGGGAAAAAACCTCTTGGAAGTGTTTGATGCCGTACTAAAGCGGATGCAACCGTGGCCGCGATGAAACAGGCCGCTCGTAGACAGAAGAATGTCAGTATGGCCATCACAACAACAGCGGGCTGACCTGACTCGGGCAGACAATAAACACCATACATGAAACCCGAAAGACCAAGAAGCATATGGAAAAATATTGGAAGAGGAAAGGATGAGGTCGCAGAAAATGATTGCGGCTGCCCTAGAGGCGATGCCGAGAGGGGAGAGGTGATTCCGAGACAATGAGGAAGTGCGCCAAGAAATACGCCACACAGAGGATTCAAGAGAGGGGAACTCTGATATCTAAAAATAACGTGTGGCGCTTCATAATGGCACAGACTTTCTCGTATAAGTTTTCTAATTTATTTGGCCTGGGTTTTCGGTTTTGCCTCACCCACTTATCAGCTGCTATCTATCGCCGCCCAAACTACATTTTTTCACGTTTTCTCAATTTTTCCTTTCCCTAATGGTAGAAGTGAAACATGACTTTAAGTACCGTATGTAACAGAAGGGTTCAACCTTGGCCAATGGAAATTTTCGTTGAAAAATTTGTAGCAGTTTTTAAGAAAATGTCTTCAAGGTGTTAGTGTAAATGCGAAATTTGAAACGTTTTTAAACAGAAAACTTGAGAGTTTTCGAGAAAATTCGTTGGAAGTCCCTTGAAGCCCTTCCACTTACTAACGCAATAATGTATACAAATCGCTGAAAATGTGCAAATTGATGTGTGTGAGAGATTTCAAAATAATTTGTCTAATTTTGTAAAAAACAAAAGAATGCAGCACAAGTACTTTTTTGTCACAAACAATTTATTTTTCACTCTGCGAACAAAAAGTTTAAAGAACATTTTTAAGTATCATGGGACCCCCAAAACTTGTATTTCCGTTGAAATCTCTAAATAGATTCTCTGCATCATTACATAACTTTCTCTGAATATTAGTGGAACCGCAGATCAAGGAGCTATTGAATGACCCAACATTTGAACGATTGAGTTCCGTCGAAAAGAGCATGGAAAAATTTTCAGTGGCCTTCACACAATTTTCTGGGTAATAAAATATATTCAGATTACAAAGAAAGCGTGCAGGAATTACTAGATGCATGTCAAGACATGGAATGCCGCATGTCACTGAAATTTGTATTTCCTGTATTCACATTTAGACTTTTTCCCATCAACCTAGGCGCTGTTAGTGAAGTGATGGGGAGATGATGCCAGGGCATTAAAGTTGTGTAGGAGAGGCTTTAGGAATCAATCCATGCTTGCAGACTATTGTTAGATGCTTTGCCGAGTTGACCAAAACATTCAGGAAAGGACGTCAATAGCTGTGCATTTTAGTTCGGAAAACTTTTTATGCACTTATTTTTACTATTCAACATATGTAGTATTTATCAGAGGTTTGCATTCAACCCCAGCACTGCTGAGGTAAGCAAGAATGATAATTTAATTAATATTGAGAATTAAAATTACGATGAACCGTATGTCACTTGAACAAAAATATTGCACCCTCTGTTTATTTTACTGCGATCTGTGTACCAGTCGACTGCGCCACCCAAACTGTGAAATCTTTGCTGAGGATGGAACCTGCGCGCGCACGTTATTTACTGGGGCAACGCAACGCCATCTTGTCGTTCTAGAGGGCGTTAAGCAACGGCAGGCGGCAATGAGGGGGAAGCTGTAGCATATCATGTACTCAACTAGCTAGGGGTAGATGACGTTACTCCCCCTCCCTTGCTTCAAGGCCAAGCCTCGTCATTACAGGACTCCCCGCCAAAGTGCAGATGAGAGCAAACAAGGCATCTCACATTTACTCATTAGCCAGTGCTACCACAATTCATTTTAAATGGCATGTTTTGTCAGTATAAATTATCGTAGCGTTTGTTGAGAAGTTTATAAATTATAAAATGATTATGGGGCACACACACATATTTATTTCCAGCCGTAATGAGACTGAAGCAGAATGTTCCCTAGAGATTGTATTAATTATTAAGTGGGAGATTGTTCTGACACACTTGATCAGAAAAACTTGATTCCACGAATTTTCGAATAGCATATTACTCGCGCATCGTTTTTTGAACGATGGATTGAAGAAATGCTGGTAGAGTGGGTGGCAGATATTAGTTACGATATCGGCCACTAGATTTTGTGAAGCAATGCCAATCTCTGGAGAATCAGTCATGCCTTCGCAACTTTCTTAATAATTTGCATTCTTTCTCAGGAGTTCGATGTATCTCCTGTGACAGATCTTCACCTGTTTCGGTTATTTCTTTAAATTTTTTTGGAGAAAATCGCGGACAGAAGTTCTTCAACAGAGAATAGTTTATATTTCGCGCCTGTGATGATGTGTTTGGAATGTCATCAGTGCTCCCTGAGAGCTTTAGCTTTCAACTATTTATTGTGTCAGGGAAAGTAAGGTCATCGTCCAAGAAAAGTAGCGCGAATAATACTGTGCCCTAAAGAGTCGGTGCATGCCAAGACTGGGTGTGATGTAGTAAAAATAATAAAAACCTATGGTCGAAACAGACTAGTGAAAAAAAGATTATCCACTGTAGCCTATCGAACCATCGCTGCTTGACAACGTATGACAAAAATTCATTTTTCAAAAAAACTTAGCAGTATTTTGCTAGTCATAGAAGAAGAATGGAGTTTTGTTTCCATTGATTATCGCAGCGTTTGCAGGAAGCAGATTCCATTTCCCTGTTCTGTAAGTTACTATTTACTTTTTCTTTCAAGAAAATACATCCAGTGTGTGAGTGACAAATTGATCGTTGGAATTGTTGATTTTGTAAAAATTTTGTGTTTTACGGTTGTGATAAATCAACTTTCCTGCTGCGCCACTACTTTGCGGTACGGGAGGGGGAAGCTGATTGGTCGCTGTACTTCGATTTATTCATACTGTTCTTTGATAGATCATTAACTGTTAGTGTCGTCCAATCGGGAGCTTAAACGTTATTACTGTGGTTGTCATCTGAGTTCCCGATTGGCTGATTACATCAACAGACTCTTACGTTTAAACCGAAGTATAACAGCTAGGGTATACAATGTAATTACCGCACGCCCCTGGTACTTACACATGCTATCTATTTATTTATTTACCTCAAAAACAATTAAAAACTGCGTGTGACGTGCCATGGGGAGAAGTTAATTTGAAGTTACATTTATGTCCAGAAGCAAAACAAGGGGCCATTAAGCATTTGCTACAGGATCAGGGAAACTGGACGAAAACCTGGTCGAGATGGGGGTCATTGACCCAGAAGCTGACCTAGATCTGTGAATTGTCTTAATATAAGCGTCAAATTTGCATTTGTAGCCCCAGAAATTGAATATACAAGTATTTCCGAAAATGCATTTTATTTAAAATATGTTATGTGATAGGCAAAAACTCAAACCATATTCGTATTTAGATCACAACATTGATATATAATCACCAGCTTTCATCTCTGGCAATTAAATTTAGTTTCAAATTGTCGACTTGTGTTATTAGATAAAAAATGAAAAGAAACAAATAATAAATAATAAACAAATAATTATGAACTTCATATTTTTTGCAGTTAGTATGATATTCTATATTATACTGATCTGTCGCTGGTGTACATTCGGCTCTGGCCCTGCTATCTCGATCATCATTGCTATGCTATTCTTGATCATCATTGACTCCCTTTAAAATATCATCGACCCCTAGGGTGTAGATACTGACCCTTTTGGGGACACCTGTTTTAGATTTTGAGAAGAAAGAAAAGAAAGAAGAAAAAAATGAAGCACATTGTCAAACTCGTGTAAAAACCTCCAATTTTTCCTTCTCTTCAAAGAAATCTCATTCTGAAATATTTTGTGTCATGTCATGACCGCACATACCTTTTATAAAATGTAATGCCACAATTTTTTTGCAAAATATAATACATTTGACTTGTTTTTTTGTTTTTTTTATGTTACATGAGTTTCATTGTTTTTTAAAAGAAACAAAATATTTGTAACTAATTGCATTTTAATGAATTTTCCAATTATATGCATTTTCATTTAACAATCTTAATTAATTGCTAGAGCAGGAAAACAATGCAGGGCATTTCTTGAGGTTTTTATTTGGATTTCCTATTTTTGTTATTTGCAGAAACTGCTAGTCACAGTGCTGATGCCGAAGCTGGGCACGGAGAGAGTAAAGTTTGGGACAATGAAGAAGATCAAGTTGCTTATTCATGGTCTTTCTTTCACATTATGTTTGCATTGGCTACCCTGTACATAATGATGACACTTACTAATTGGTTCCAGTGAGTATTCAGTATTGATTATGATTTATTAACTTTAGTGATAACATGTGATATCAAATATTCAACACAATTTTACTTCATATGAAATAGATTTATATATTATTAAACATATTCTTGGACTAGAAATTGGCTGTTATGTGGTGTGTTAGCTTAGGCTAAACATTTTTTTTTGTACAAGTATTCAGTGCTATATTCAAGTTTGTTTTACATCAAAATATTGTTTTCTTTACAACATTGGAGTCAATGATTAGGGTGGTGGGTAACCTGTGTGTGCTCTTCCCCCCCGCCCCTTAAAGGAAGAGTCAATTTCAATGTTCTGCTGAGCACCAATGTCTTGGGTAGTTCCAGCAATAACCTTTTCACACATGGAATCAATGACAATGAGCACACTCAAACCCACCTAAATTAATTTGGGCAATAGTGGATTATTAATAAGGGTTTGAAGTGTACCATTTTGGACTTGAAAATCAGTTGCTAAAATTTTGGGTTCTCAATTATGTTACTAAGAGGTGTTGAATCAGAACCAAAATTGATGAGACTAACAAAGCATTCTTTTTTCTTTTTGAAGAAGAACTCTGTCTATGAATCGCTTATGTACTTTTGACAATTGGAACAATATCTGCAAATAGGCTTTTGAAGTAGAATGTGTACAAAAATAGAAATGTGGGGTATTCCTTATATTCTAATGAATGTCAATTATTTTTTCAGCCCCAACTCATCATTGGAGACACTCAATTCTAATACAGCCTCTATGTGGGTGAAGATGATATCTAGTTGGATCTGTATGTTTTTGTATGGATGGACCCTTGTCGCACCGTTGGTTTTACCCAACCGAGACTTCAGCTAAATATTTTTGTTGCTATATATTGCACTGGATGGAATTACTATCTGTAATCAAATCAACAACCAAAATAATATTTATGAAACCCAAGCTTTTTCTGTATTGAAAGTTAACATTGTATTATATTTAGTTTTCACTTATTGTGTGAAAAATACAAGTCAAGCATTGTAGAGTTATATGGTGTGTAGATTATTGGTCTTGTTAACAAACGTGTACTTATCACCATAGCATTGCCGTTACTAGTTATTACATTATACTGGCGAACATTTTCTTAAAATGTAATGAAACTGAGGGAAATGGTGTAAAAGTATATTGTTTAAGTTAAGCGTTTTCTCGATACTAATAGTTCTGTTCGTTAGCTTGTTTGGGGTTAGATCACACATCTTGGTTTTATGGTTAGAACACACAACTTGCTTTTCCATCATTAAGGAACTTGAGGTTTCCTCTTGATAATTATTTTATTATTGAAGAGTGGTTAGTCTTTCATTGAATTAGTAAGAGAATTTAATTGCATTTTTGTTATAATATTGTAAATATATCCTAAAAGAATGGACTACGTAATGTGTTAATTTTTTTCAGTTGCCTTTATATGATACTGAAGCTATTTAATCATAGATAAATTTATATTTTTTATAGTAATAATATTGAGGAGTGTGTGTGTGTATAAAAACTTGCAGAAACCTTTTTCTCTTCCTTTTCTGAATATCCATTTTCACAGGTATTGAAGATAAGAGTTGTCAGAGAAAGAGATTTATTCATGTGATTTAAATCTTTATCATATTATATCTAGAAAGATTTCTCAGAATTTATTTATTAATAGAAGGAAGAACACATCACAAACTGCTGTTTTATGAATATTTATGCTATTCAAGTCCTAAATTCACAAAATAAAAAAAAAATCATACTCAGCTCTGTTTTGCCTGATTTATACCTAATCACTGTAATTAATTTCATGAGGCATTTAATATCGTTCTCTTTTGGAATAATTCAGAAAAATACATTAATTTTTCAAATTATTAAATTGTATACTCTATATTATCTATGTTACCTTTATGGATAATATGACCAACTTTGAAACCTAGAACTTCTAATGTAGAATTGCTAAAAATACTTTTTTAATTTAATGATTGCTGTTTTATAAGGATGAGGTGGCAAATTTGAGTTGTGAAATACATGTAGTCATTGCCCTTGTTAATGGACTGGCAAAGATGAGGACATACAACATTGTGATCCACAAATTTGTTCACTAGAATATTTCCACAGCAAATGCTCTCAAAGTAAATGTGTTTCAATTCTCAAAAAGGAATCTTGGTTGTCTTGAAATTTTAAACTTGATCACTCTAATGTTGTAGATTTTTGCTACAAGTAAGTGTGTCAGCCTTCTAGACTGTAGTGAACCTCAAATTAATTTTCAGCCTCAACAAAAATAGGCTTTTGAGACTATATACAACCACAACATAATTTTATTCTCAAAATAATAAGTTTCTGAAAGATTGAGGAGATAGTCTCCATTTAAAAATGGAATTAACATAACTGCACTCAACATTGTTGGAAGAAAGGATTATGATATTGTAGGTAGCATTTGCTGATAATTATTCAATTTGCAAAAGACTCCTAGAAAATTGGGAAGTGGCTGACTTCACTAATATAGTCTAGAGGAAAGTGCAATAGATCAATTTGGTATTGTATTTGCTGATTATTTATGTTTCATAGAGTAATATTTGTATGAAGTTCATAATTTTTTGTTGTGCAAAATTTAACTGCTCCTATTACAATGTATATTGAAAATATATTGGAATAAATATAATAAACATTTTAATTTCTTTGATTTTTAAAAATAATCATCACTTAATGACCAACATAAATTTCTTGGCCCCTGGGGAGTTAGGAGAGGAGGCAGTTAACCAATCAGGAGCGTCAATTTCAAAAACTGAAGCTCCTTATTGGATGACTGTACCACCTTTCCCAACTCACCAAGGGTCAAAAAATTAAAATCTGAGAATGGAGGAGTTTGGATGAGTCCTGTCCCTGGACATTAGGGCTGGTGGTTATCTACCAGCTGTTCCTGTTGCCTTTATATCTTCTTTGGTTTTCTTGCTCTCTTCTCCCTGTAGGTCAGTATTTCAATGTTAGTTTTGGTAGTCTGATTTCTTCTGTGTTTCAGACATTTTCTTTGGTACTCCTTTTTATCTTTACGTAAGTCTATTTCCTTCAATCTTTTTCTGATCTTTTCATTTATTTGTGTGTCAAGTTTTGATATTCTTGCTAGCTATCTTAGAACTAGTCTTATTTGAGCTACTTTTAATCCCTGTGAGTCTCTATTCTCATGATCAGAGTTTTTGTAGTATACATTAATGCTGGTTTAGCTCTTATTCTGTATATTCTTTGCTTTGCATCTTGTGTTCAATTTGTTTATAAAGTATTTTTTTTATTAACTCTCAGCTCTATTATCAATATTACAATAATAATAATAATAATAATAATAATAATAATAATAATAATAACAATAATAATAATTCCACCTGACACATACACGACCTTGTAGTTGGTGGTAGTGCTTGAGTAGCCTGAGAGATATGTCAGCAGTAGCCTAGTTCCCGGTAGGGCCTTCCTTGCTGAATAGGTTGAATGTGAGAAGTCAAGACGAAGTACTCCAGGGGAGAGTAGAAAGTAAATAGAGAGGGGAGGGTCATGAACCTTTAGACTTTCTTTTATCAGCCAATGGAGGGTACAGGAGAGAAATTGGGTTTGCACACCAGGGGTGGAACCTTGTATTAGCCAGCGAAGGAGACTGCCTTCAGTAGTCAAGTGAAAATACCTTAGGGTTTAGTAATGTCGACTGGCGATCGAAGACCCCTTGCTGGGCCCTGTGGGGAAGGGATGCCCCAGGGCCACTGTAGGTAGCAGCAACAGGTGACAGGAAATAACCCATGGGTAAGGTGTGATCTGTGAATTCAAATTTGCTTCCTGCAAGACTTCACTTTAAAACAATGAGATATTTGGATAGTACAAGAAATGAAATGAATCCGAACGTGCCATGTCTCATGCCTGATCAGAAACTGAGTTAATGTCACCTTGTCGACGTTGGCTATCCCACGGATGTTAGTCCCAGGGGCTTAGAGTCGGCAATAACTCTAAGCTTTTGTCAGAGATGGACATGGGATGAAGTAGGTGGTGTGCTTTTACTACGCCAATGTGAACTAGTGGTGGCTAGAACAAACAGTACATAGTGTATTTTCTCGCAATATTACAATGTCCTTAGGTACGACGGAATGCTCATTTATGCTTTATTAATTTCAAACCGGAATTACGCGAAAATTTATTTTTATTATTATTTATTATATTTATATATATATATATATATATATATATATATATATTATATTTATTATTATTTAAAACTCACTTTTATAAAACATTGTTCATGACTTTTTTTAAAGAGATAATTCTGTACTACAGACTTTGAGTCAAAAATGTCTACCTTAAATTATGTAGTTAGAATTGTTTTTGCAATTTTTGAAAAAAATGAACAATACCAGAAAATGGGACTAGCACTGTATTTTTAGCGTCCCTTTTTACACACGTGGAGAAAATTTAAAGAAAAAAATTGGTGCGCTTTTTTAAAAATGTTTTTTCATAAATTTCAAGTGTAAATTATGTAAAACTACTCTTCGTTTTCTCTTTTTAAAAAAATTGAACGTCCTTTTTCAAAGAGCTAATTTTGTTCCATTAACTTTGAGGCAAAAAATCTCTATCTTCAATTTTGTAGTTTAATTTTTTTGTTGCAATTTTCGAGAAATCAAGAAAGTAACGCCCAAAAGAACCTGCAACATTCACTTAAACGTTCTTCGCTCTCTTCCACAACATTTAATCAAAAAATTTGGCGACATTACAAAAAATTGAAAAGGTTTGGGAGGCCTTGTTAAGTACTCCCTAAAATTAAAATATCGGTTTCAAATTCGAGGGGCTGTGATATTGGCTAGAACGAACCAATTTTAAAGAAAATGGCTGAACGGTTTATGCGCTAGCGTTGTACACAGACGGACGGACAGACACGACGTTTTGCCGTCAATCGATTTTTTGGTATGAAGGACGCACAAAACGTATTGTAGCTACACCACGGGTTAGATAATTTTTTTTCTATGTTTAGCAACTGGATTTACGCACTCTTTCGGTACCCGTGCCCGGCAATAAGTGTTTTGTGTCGAAATTTCGCGATACAATGAACTAACATTAATTTCTCACCCGTCAGATGCAAAGAAGAGAAATCTCCTTAAATTCTTGAGCTGACGATACCAGTGTCGTCAGTCTGCGCAAACCACAGTGTACGCAGAACGAGCAAATAGTATAAGATAAAGGAATCTAAGCCTTCTAGGCGTGACGTCACAAAGGTTGAAATGTAGCAGGCATTAGTGGTATCGATATGCGCCGAACCTGCAAAAATTTAATGGAATGTCCAAGAATATCTCATTATATAGAATATGGCGAGAGAAACATTTCTATGCTATCAAATAGGCATTAACATGCGAGAGAACATTTGCTGCACGCGAAGAAAAGTTTCATCAATCGTGCGGATAGCTTAATTAGAACAAAATTATGGTACATTTAGTTTTTATGTATCATGCGTTTTTCTTGTGTGGGAATGCTAACTTGACGTTAAGGTAGCGTACCCACCGTAGTTGAATATTTCGATGTTGTGCATTAGTAGAAAATTTTTAAATTTGGATATAAATTAGTCTTTAATTAGAACAAAATTCTGGGATACATTTTTTCAAAATTGCGATAAGTGGGTATGCTAACTTTACGGACATCATCTGGACACCCTACCAGCGCGGTCCGGGCAGAGGGCCGCGCGGTGGCCTCGCTTTACCACACTCTGAGGGCCAGGGCAGTGGTTCGCATTCATGTTGGACGAACATTTATTTCACTGCCCGCAAAAACAATTAAAAAATGATAGAACCAAATGGGTGGGCAACAGGTTTATTAAAATTACCAAAAGATTTATTTTGCTCACTTAGGTGCCTATCATTCACAGGAGTCGTTAAGGTATTTTAAATTTTATTATTACTAATAGAGTATTTATTGTGGACTATAAGGAAAATACTACGAATCAATTTTCCACCCTATCTACAAGATCTGTCTCTTCAAAAGTGTGAATTAAACGAATTGCGTGTGAACAGTATCGAATGTCATAAATCGTACCGCAAGCGGCCCACTGTTTCCTGAAACCTCTTTCAGCGCCTGTGGTGGTGGTGTGTGTGATTGCGTACGTGCGCGCGCGCGTTTGTGTGTGTGTATCTGTCTTGGCGTGAGAGAGCCTAACAGGAAGCTACGCCTCTGCATTGATTGTTGTTTTTCTTGGACCGTGTGATGAATCATATGCATAATAATTCAAAGAATATACTTTTCCTTTATTCGCAGAAGTTTTGTGAATCTTTTTATGCTTACTTTAGCAAACTTTACTTTTAGCTTTTAAGCAAAAACATTAAACGAAACGCACTAGTCAATGCTTTCAAACGTAAGTAAACGAAAAAGAAGTGATGATAACTCAATGCCAGTATATAATGTTCCAACTTCGCGTTTCGAAGAGCTCCAAAATTTTTAAAGACGGTGATCTAAATCCTCCAGAACAAACTTAAAAAATTCCGCTCATAATTATGCACAACATTGTTGACTGCAACCAAATGATTTCTGACATTAAATCAGTCACCAAATTTGATTTCACTACCAATACAGCCGGTAATAAAAATAATGTTTACTACACAAGGAGATTGCCGTAATTATAGACTTCTGCGTAGAGAAGAGTAAACAGTACTATTCTTTCCGCGACCCTTCTAATAAGACTTTCCATACTGTGCTGAAGGGCATCCCTATATGCTACTCAAAAGCTGACATTTTCAAAGAACTTGTACTTATAGACCCTATGACTAAAATGGCCACATTATTTGACAAAAAGAAAAATCCAATCGAAATTTGTGCTTTAGAAATAAGACACTTAAGAAGCAAAATCAATCTTCACTCTAAACCGCCTTATGCATTGCGACATTCAAATTCATATAAGAACCAAACGAAATTATCCTTTCCAATGTAAGCGTTGTCAAAGGCATGGTCACTCGCAACCTCGTCTCACTCCGAGGTGCGTTAGATGCAGTCACACCATTACTCACAATGCGCTAAACCGAAAAGCGACAAACCGAACCGCGTACGGCGAGAAACATACGGCAAATTACAAAGACATATTTTCATAGAAGCAAATGAAGTTCTAAAACAAAAGAAAACTCGCCGGACGTTGTTGTTTCAAGGATTGATCGACTGATTGTATCATGTTTCCGAGTGCGTCAACTGATATAGTAACCAGTTCCACAAGTGTAGTGCAAAAATTATCGCGAGAGTGCAGTGTTGTTCCCTTTCGAAGGATGATGAGATCCGGTGTCGACCTACACGCCGGCTTGCGAGGTTTTCCCTCCAGGTATCTCCCACCAGCGGAGCACCGGCACAAACTCAAAGCTCCCGAGATGTGTTGTGTTGTAGTGCATGTAAATGTATGCGTGTGAATATGTAGAGTGAGTGAAGAGGTGAGGATAGGACAAGAACAGAAAGGTTCTGCGCGGTCCGTGGCACTTTTGTTAGGGTACTGCCCCGGTGTTAATCGGAGAAACCATGGATCACAGCAGCTGGTTGCTAGAATTCTCCTCAAACACTAAGACCTCCCAGTTAGAGGCATTAAAATAGCATCAACTGATTGTCCTCAGACGGTCAATGTTTGAAATTATAGAGAGTTTATCGTGTCATCAAGACTATAAAATATTTAAATGAGTA